GAGTCCCGCATCGGGCTCCCTGCTTGGCGGGGAGCCTGCTTCTCCCTCTGACCCTCCCCCATCTCATGCTCTCTCTCATTCTCTCTCTCAAATAAATAAAATCTTTAAAAAAAAATAAATAAAGAAACACTTTTGGGGGCGCCTGGGTGGCTCAGTCGTTAAGCGTCTGCCTTCGGCTCGGGTCGTGGTCCCAGGGTCCTGAGATCGAGCCCCGCATCAGGCTCCCTGCTCCGCGGGAAGCCTGTTTCTCCCTCTCTCACTTCCTCTGCTTGTGTTCCCTCTCTCACTGTGTCTCTCTCTGTCAAATAAATAAATAAAATCTTTTAAAGAAACACTTTTGGGGCACCTGGGTGGCTCAGTCAGTTGAGCGTCTGCCTTCGGCTCAGGTCATGATCTCCAGGTCCTGGGATGGAGCCCCTCACTGGGCTCCCTGCTCAGTGGGGAGTCTGCTTCTCCCTCTGCCCCTCCCACTGCTCGGGCTCTCTCTCTCATGAATAAAATCTATTTTAAAAAAAGATTAAAAAAATAAAAAATAAATACACTGTTTTTACGGATCTACTGGTAATACAGAATTTTGAAATCAGATGCGCTAGTGTTTAAAAAAATGAACCGTTTGAAAGTTTGGGGCGCCTGGGTGGCTCAATCGTTGAGCGTCTGCCTTCGGCTCGGGTCATGATCCCAGGGTCCTGGGATCGAGCCCCGCATCGGGCTCCCTGCTCGGTGGGAAGCCTGCTTCTCCCTTTCACACTCCTCCTGCTTGTGTTCCCTGTCTCTCTGTCAAATAAATAAATAAAATCTTTAAAAAAAAAAAAAAGTTCAGGAGATTTGCTTCACAATATGTGAATATGCTTAACACTACTTGAACTGTACACTTAAAAGCAACAAATACGGTAAATTTTGTGTGTTTCTTATCACAATTTAAAACACAAACTGGGTCAATGTCCATCTTTTCCTAGCTCTGATGAGGTTTTTTATATAGGAAATTACATATTCCTTGACATTTTCCCTTCAGAGATAATAATTTTTTCAAGTTGTCCTGTGGCCATTCTTTTTAAAATGTCTTTAGATTTCAATTTGTATAGTTTAAATTTTTCCTGAAGTTTCAATGGTTTCAGCAAGATTTTAAAATTAGCATTTCTTTGAAAATAGTGTAACTTGATTTATTCTCTTATCTATTGTTACATAACCTTTATCACTTCATACTGTCCAAACTTGCCTTGATTATAGGTGCCACAGAATGATTTAATTTCTTGTACTTTACAGTTAAGCTCTGAACAACGTAAAAGTCAGGGGTGCCAACCCCCACTCATGAAGTTGAAAATCATGAATAACTTCTAACTCCCCAAAGAGCCTTACTAAGTAACATAAACAGTCAATTAACACATATTTGTATGTATATCATATACTGTATTCTTACAAAAAAGCTACAGAAAAGAAAATGTTAAAAAAATCCTAAGAGAAAATACATTTAAAGTACTGCACTATATTTATCAGAAAAAAGCCTATATATAAGTGGACCTACGCAGTCCAAACTGTATTGTTCAAAAGTCAACTGTACTTTCAAAGAACTAACTTGAAGATTTGTCAATTTTTTTTTTTTTTGCTTTCAAAGAAATAATTGTCCTATTTTTATGCTAGTAGAAATGTGGCACCATGCCCTCCAAGTTTCCCTTTGCCCACTGTACTTCACCCCCATCTCTCCCCTTGCATGGGTGAAACTGAGCCAGAGTCCCAGAGGCTGGGAGTGCTGAGCTGTGAGGCAGCCAGCAGAGAAGGGTGGAGAAGTCAGGAGCCCTGGGAAGCCCAGAAGGCCCCAAGAGCAAGTGTGGTTTGCCTTTCCCTCCCGGGACCCCTGGCTACAGTTTCTGGCCTTAGGTTCCATGGGATGAATGCCAGCAATAACTCTACCCCAGCCCCACCCTGCTCTGCCCAAACTGGCTCCAGAGGGTTTCTGGTTTTGCAACTAACCTGCCCCTGGCCCCATCTGTACAACTTCCCACCTGTTACCCTGCACCGTCTCACCAGCCCACAACTAGGAACCCTAGAAACCAGGGCCACTATAGACATGGCTTAAAGGATTCATGAGGTCAGACATCCAGGGGGAACTTGTGCTGGTTTGTTGCTGCAGTGGCTCTACATTTGGTGATATTCGTTTTGAAAATATTTTTAGGCTTAAAGCTCTGGAACCACAATCCCTGAAACAGAGGCTTTTAGTACTAAGACCTGAAAGTCCCAAACAAACCAAGTTGACTGTGGTCACCCTGCAACCAGACACTGGGCTGCGAGCCTCCCACTGCAGCAGCTGCTACACTGCCCATGAGCGGAGGAAAATCCTAGCCCTCCTGTCTTCAGAGGGAATCTGCGTACAGGAGGAAGCTGCCCACCGTGGGCAAGGCATGGGGGCATGGGGCCCACCGCTGACAGCTGGTACCACTCCTACTTTGAGTTGGTATGGTATCTGAGGTTTCCTGTGGCCCAGCACTGTGCTGCTCAAACCATTCCTGGAAAGGAACCAACTTTAACAATTTCCAATCCATAGTGGACTGATAATTTAATGAAATACAGTAAAATAAACCACTAAAAAAAAAAGGAAACCAAAAAAGGACAAAGTATAAGCCTCAATTTTTTATTAATTTTCAACAGAAATAAAATTTTTGTTAATTGCTTAGAAGTTTCTAAACTCTTCTTCTCAATGTATATAATAACAAAGAGTTTTCCACTGTCAGTAATGCTATCTAGAATATGATCCAATTTTGAAACTGTCCTATGGGCAAGAGGGAAAAAAAAAACATATTCCCTCTTTACAGAGTATAAAATTCTCTCTATGGAGAAACATGATACACACACACATACATATTTTTTCAATTTTCTTTTGTTTGTATGCTGTGATACAGTTTATTTCATTACTCATGGACTGATAGTGATGGTTCACACTACAATTTGGTTTCTGTCACTTTCTCTCATTTCAAGAAGTTTTTGCTTTACAAATTTTATGTAAATTAAAATTAAAATTTGGGGGGTAGTCACTAAAAGAATAGACAGATAGCTTGTATTTCCAAACTACTAGAGGGGACAAAGAGAGTTGTGTGGGAGGAGAGACTTATCAATCAAAAAGGAGAAATTAAAAGAAGCAAAAAAGTGGAATACAAAGCACAAAATATGGGAAAATATACAGATAAATACATCAGTAATCACAACGAATATAAATAAACTGAACTCTTCAGTTAAAATGCAGGGTACCAGACTGAATAAAACCTCAATTTGACAATATGCTATTTATAAGCAAGACACTCCAAATAAAGCTTGAAAGTAAAAGTATGAAAATGAAAATACCAAACAAACTTAAAAAGAATTACTAAGTGTCTTTACATAACAATAAAACCTATATGCACCCAATAACATAACCTCAAAACACAGAAAGCAAAAATAAAACCACAAATGTAAATGGAGATATCTACATTCATGATCAGAGACTTCAATAGTAATTGACAGATAAAAAGACAAAAATAAATCTTCTGATTATAAAATTATATTTTACCAATATAAAGTGATCTTTTTATCACTTATTATAATCCTATTTTTATATTAAAATTTACTTCACATTTTGTATGTTTTCTTAAAATTGTTTTAATCTTTCTGTGTCATAAGTTTTTACTGGGGATGGGAGAGAAAACTGGACTATTGTGATTGGTATGTGGTTAGATTTAAACACAATCTTATAATAATTTGTTTTTAAGAGGAAAAGCTACATCATTTTCTGTTATCTTTCTTATATGCTGTTAGCTACACCTTTAGTCCCTTCTTTTTTTTTTTTTTCTTAGGTTTTTATTTAAATTCCAGTTAGTTAACATATCATGCAATATTGGTCTCAGGAGTAGAATTTAGTGATTCATCACTTATTACATATAACACCCAGTGCTCACCACAACTAGTGCCCTCCTTAATACCTATCAACCATCTAGCTCATCCCCTGCCCACCTCCCTCCATCAACCCTCAGTTTGTTCTCTGTAGTTAAAAGTCTGTTATGGTTTGCTTACCTTTTTTTTTTAAGTCCCTTATTTTCTTTTATAGTGTGGATTATACTTTTTGTTTTTAGAAAACTGATTTGGAAAAACATAAATCTTTTCAATTCTACTAGAAACTACCTTTAAGTTTTTTTAAAGATATTACTAACTCTGCATTTCCCTAATTATCAGTCAAGAACCTTTTTTTTTTTAAACCTTCCACCTTAATGTGCCTTCATTCCTCTGTCCATGTCTTCTTCCCAGCCTCCCCACTCCCTGTCCACTTCACAGGCTTTAATAACTTAATCTGGAAATCCTGAGCTATATTATTGTTATATCTATCAAACATTCTATATGTTATTATCTTAGTAATTTTCTTTTAAATGAAAATTTTATATAAATAGTTAACAATTTAACTAATTTTGATGAGCTTGGCCAGTCCTTTTAAACGAAAATGTCCTCATATTTTAAGTTACTGAGTTTTGTTGTTTCACTGGAAGGTCTCAGAGTCAGTTTTCCATGCAGGGTTTGCACTTGTCAACAAATGCCTTCATTTTCAGAGAAGAGTAGGACAGACTGATGTAGCCTTCCTCTGTACCCTCACCTTAACTGCTGCCAACAGGTTCTAACAAACAAAACTGGCGGTAGGGGTGCCAGATGTGTAATGTCTAACAGTTCTTTCTCTTTCAAGACTGTAGTACTCTACCCTAGGATGAATTTTTCTCCTGGCCCACTTCTGTTCTATCCCTGATAAAAAAGACAATCTACAGTTCGCCTTTATCAAGATGCTGCCCACAAAACTGACCATCCAACAAGCACCTCTCCTGGGCTTTTGCAACAACATCCCAGGGTGCAATATGCCCAGGATCCTATCTGTCCCAGCCATAGGGAGTATGGCAAGCTGGAGTCTCGAAACACATGCAAAAGAAAAGTGGGATTGAGTGGAACACACCAACTCTGTCCCTGTCAACAACAAACTCAAGAAGCTGCCATTTATCCAACCAATGTGTCTTCACACCAGGGACAAACAGTGGGGCTAGGCTCAGTCTTCTATCAACTTCCTGGCCACCCCTGCCATCTGTTTCTGAAGGCAACAAGTGCCCAGTCATCAATACTAACTCCCAACTCCTTCCTACCTGCCAGTCTTTTTCTATACCTCCAAGGCGTTTTAATAGAGAAGTCTTAAGAAGCCCTATCAGGGGCTGCAAAATGGACACCATCTTAACCTTAAAGCTGCACAGATCACAGTGATTACAGGTACTGAAGGGAGAGCCACTGCATCCAGGGGTGCCCAAGCTGAAGCCCTGTGACCCACATACCTCTTCATCACCAGGCTCCATGGGCTGGCACAGCCAGGGGGTGTCCGCCAGCTTCCTCAGTTGCTGGTCCATCTCTGTGAGAGCAGCCCCAAGCCGCTCTTTCTGAGGGGGATCCAGCTGCTGCTCCAGGCAGGAAGGAAAGAGAGACACAGCTGGTTATTAGCAGTGAGGAGCTGGGGCCACAGCAAAGCCCCCATGCAGGCATGCAGTCTGCACCAGGGAAAGTGATCTGTTTCTCAGACAGTTATTATAAAAATTCCTAAGGAAACTAAGTCATACAGCACTGGCTAAGGGGCCAAATTCAGAACCTCCCCTTCTAAGTAGGATCAGGTGAGGGAATTAAAACTCTTCTTTCATAAGTACTGGAATAAACCAAGCTCGTCTGAAAACTGAATGAGCGGCGCTGACACTTCACCAACTTCGGTTTACCCTGGAGACCCCTATGTCAGAAAGAGGACAGGACCAGATCGCCTGCACCAGAGTGCAGGAAATGCTGAGGCAGCAAAGAAGCAGTCGTCACATTCAGAAGACCAGACGATTTTGAAATGAAGAATAGAGGACATGGAAACTAGCTTTTTGGGGTGGTTCTCCAGATGAGTGATCTTCAGCAAATCACTCTACCTCCTTTGACCTCCACGTCCTCATTTTTTAAAACAAGAAGGTTGGCCAGGCCATCCCTCGGGTCTTCCCTATTTTGGCTTCTGCAATTCGGTGAAACCCGACCTGTGCACTTGCCCAGGGCTGACTCCTCAGCCAGGATGGCAGGGCTGAGTGAGGAAGGGTGACTGCACGTCTGAGAACGGGGCCTGCCTGCCTGGTCACAGGCAGATGGCTCCATGCCTGCAGATTTCTAAGGTAGAATTTCATGTGCAATGACAAAGGTGGTTCTGTCCATAGGAGTCTAACATGCTAGAGATGATGTGGTTGAGATGTGGCCAGAGGACTGGAGAACCAGCCATATGGCCAGATCAGATGACCTCCAAAGCCCCTTCCAACACTGAGTCTAGAATTCTTAAGGCCAGGAACGCCAGGCTAAGATCTGCTGCCCTCTGCACAAAGGTCACTACATGCAGAGTGAGGGCTGGCCTCTCGGCTTACCAGAGCCACCTTCCCAGCCAGCAGCAGTTCCGTCTCACTGCGCAGAGCTTTGATGTTATTCACCATTTCCAGGACAAAGCTGCAGTTCAGCCCCTGAGACGAACCAGAATGACACCCATGTAGAAGGCCCAAGGGCTAGAGGACTTCAGAGGAGCAAAACCTGAAAAGCACAGGCACCTCTGTGGTTCTGGGCTTGCCGTACACTCGGTCCATGGACTTGGAACTGGCATTGACAGCGTGGGCAAGTTCCTGCTCCATGTCTTGATGGGACTGAGCTATCTCGCGGATACTAGAGAGAAAGAAACACAGCACTCATCAGACCAGAGGAAGGGGCAGCCTATCACATCACCCCGCTCAAAGACAGGCCCAGGTCCAGCCCAGGGGGCCAACACAGACACAGCTCAGCCAATGGCAAACAGAGCAGGTCTTCAAGGGGAAATGTGACACCAAAATCCAAGTTTTTCCAGAAACTCAATGAGGGAGGAAAATACCCAAAATGAGACTCACACCCTATAAAATGGCAAGCTGACAGGAAACATGGTTTGCAGGCCTGCTATGTGGGGAGAGCTGATCGTTCCTGAAAGGGGACTTTGCCTCCCCACTCTATAAATGAGGATGACAGGACCCTTCTCTATGGGGACGATCCTGGTTCAAAAGGCTCAGACCCCAGGACACGGCCCCAGGCAAGAGCCCCTTGCCCAAGGGACCCACACAGAAATAGGGTGGTGACAGGGTCAGACACAGCAAGAGCACCAGAGCAGACAGAGGGGACACACAAGTCAGGGGAGCTGGATGAGGAGCCACTTGTCCTACCCTGGGGAAAACCAGGGGCAGCTGCTGGACTTTAAACAAGACAATGATGGCCAGTCCCCACCTGTGGGGCTGCCACAGGCCTTGAGGGGACAAGAATGAAGATAGAAGGAAGCTAGAAGCCTGTTATACAGCCAGGAACTGAGAAAGAACGTAAGAAGTGAAGTCATCAAGCCCAGATACTGATTTGGCCACGGGGGGCGGGGCAGGGGGGGACGACGGTGGCAGAAGTGGTGCCGGCTACTTGAGACAGAGGACACAGCGCAGGACATGCTCTCAGGGGTGTGGACCCAGAAGGAGCCATGGAACCAGAAGTGCCTACAGGAGTTCTGGGAGAGCTACCAACCCACAGGCTGAGAGCCTGATGCCGGGAGGAGGGGAAAGAGGAGAAGAACCGCCCGGAAGGGCAGGCAGAGCCTACAGCCCGCAGGGCAGCAGTGCTCCCGGTGGGAGCAGAGGAGGAGGAAGCCACAGAGCAGCACAGAGGCGAAGTCAAGGAGCACCAGGCCAGCGTGCGGCCTCAGGGGGTGACCAGGGAGGGGAAATACGTTGAAAACCAGAACCAGACGGCAGCCGAAGAGGGTCACGGGATCTGTCAACTGAGAGGGCACAGGTCACCAAGCTGAACGACCCTTCCAGAGCAAGGCACGATGGCAGCCGGCGCCCGGGCGGGTGGGGAGAATGGACAGTGGCGGAGTGGGACCACCATGCCAGAAGGTCGTCCCCAGTGGCTCCAGAAGGCACTTCTCAAAGGCAGAGTAAAAGAAGGAAATGCCTTTGGGTACTGGTGGGGTATTTACTTTCTAATAACTACAAGGTTTGTTTTTTAATAACAAACCTGCTCTCTGGGATAAAGCAGAAGTGGCAGTAAGAATCCAAGATAGGTTTTTACATCTGTGAACTGGCTCTGAAAACACCTGTGGATTTTAAGCTTCCATCTACATGAACTCCGAGCAATCTCTGAAAGTCAGTTGGCAGAGATGAACCAAAGCCAAGGGCCCGCAGAAACCCCAGCTGGGCCCTGGTGAAGGAGGCAGACTGGCACATGAGCCCTGGGAGGAGGGACCGCATGCTGGCAGCCCAGCGGTGAACATGGGGCCCTGAGGCCGTCAGGGGCCCAGGGGCTCCAGCCGGGAGGCGGCTAACTGCCCAGGGAAGGCGAGGGCCCACCTGTGGATGAGGGCTCCCGCCGCCTGCCCGAACTGGTCCATCTGGGTGGCCTCTTCCTCAGACAGGATCTCCGGGTGCAGAGAGAAAGATGGAGGGCGAGGAAGTTCACACTTCTGCTTGTCTTCCCAGGACTTGAGCGTGTTCTCAAAGGCCTAGGGCACAGGACGGCAGTATCACACGGTGCACCGCTCTCTCGAGAGGCAGGCACGTGTCGAACAGCAAACACTGCTGGGATACTCGCTGGACAGCAGCCAGAAAGGGAGAGACACAATTGTGTTTCACACTGAGGAGTAGGAATGGTCCTGGAAATTACAGCCCTGTTCACTTAAGCTCTGTGTCTAACAAAAGTAAACTAGAACGAAACACTAGAAACTCTGGGCCTTCTCCGAGAAGGTGCACAGGTGTGCCCGAGGTGAGCCCTGGGACCGGTGTGTTCTCTCCGGGTCCCCGAAGGCAGCCTTTCTTACCCTATCTCTGGTGAGTGTCTGTGCCCGGTTCTTGTGGATAATCCGAATGTATCCTGGAGGCTGGATCCAGGCCTCTCCGTCCACCTGCACGGGTACGCCCTCATCCCCCAGGATGGAAATCTTCACGGTACGACACTGAGCAAACATCACAGCTGTTACTTGTGCACTGCGCGGAAGCAAGGAGCTAAGGGGCTGTATCTCAGCGCTGCAGGAGCCTTCCTGTGCTGCGTGCTCTGGCACACGTCAGCTGACGTCTGGGGGGCATACCACGCCCGCTGCCGACCACCTCTGCGGTTAGAGCATCCTCGTCTGGGACACAGCTCATGAAGCCCACGGGTCTGTCCCACCCTCCCCGTCCCCTCACCCGCTACTGCACCTGAAAGCACAGCGAGACCTCAGGGGTCAGACACAAGCACCAGGCCCGGGGTGGACCCTCGTGACCAGCACGAGCCATCGGGCCCTGCGCACGTGCAAACACTCCCCGAACAGGGTAAACCCCTCCAACAAGTGGTTAACGATGCACTGTTTCTCTTTTCAACAAAAAACACTGCCCAAGAGTTAATATCATAAAACTCAAACACCCTACCCTACGTGGGGGCAGACTGAGGCTGGAAGGACTGGAAAGCCACTGCGTGGGCCTCAGGTGGGCTAAGTTATCAGCGTCCCCGCTTCATTATGCATAAAAACACCGCCCACCCCAACGCATCACCAGAAATAAGCCCCCCTCCCCGTCTCCCCTCTCCAGCTGGGCCCTAGAGCAGCAGGTGAGACCCCGCTTTCTCCATTGCTCACTGCTCGGCCTCCGTTCCCAAACTCAGGATGCGGCTGCTGAAAGCCACAGGCACGTGCCGAGTCCGGTCGGGCCTGTCTCATCTCATCCCACCTCAACAGAAGGCGGCAGGTACAGTGGGCACCCACAGAGAAAGCCAGGGCAGGGAGCTCAGGCAGGATTCAAGGGGGCCCCAATTCTGAACGAGTGTCATCCAACTGTCAAATACAGCAGGGGAGGAAGGGCTCTGGACCAGGAGACAGGGCCGTGGGTGGTCCTGGAAATGCACCCACTCTCCTGGGCTCTGTGCAAGGAGTGCACTGATGCAGGAGACTGGTTCTGGGCCAGGCCCTGCCTCTCCAAACTCGCGGGGGCCAGACTGCCTCCCAGGTCCCTCCCACCTGCAGGACCCATGGCCGGTACCTGGGCGATTCGGTGATGCTGCAGCTTAATGACACGAGACACAGCCATCTGCATGCTGCCAAACACAGCGACCACCTCCAGGATCTTATCATCGAATGACGGAGCTGCAAAAGTCTGCAAGGACCAGTGTTAAGAGCTGACCTCTGCTCCGAACTTCCCCGCACACCCCTCGGTGCTCCCTCTCTGGATTGCTGCTCTGGTTAGAGACAGACAGGGGCACTACCAGGGTGCGGTGTGTCCTAACTGAGAAGCAGCTGTGGGGCGAATGCGTTACTGAGGGGGTTTCTAGGAGAAACCCCAAACCAGCTGTGGTATTCAAATCTCTGAGCTGCCACTGACTAGCAGTGTGACCTTGAGCAAGTCACTTAACGTAATCTTTTGTCCTCGGTCCCATCATCTGTGAACCAAGGCTAACACTGGTGTGCTCTTATGAGGACCGATGTAACGCATGCCCAGTGCTTTCAACAGCTACCAGAGCATCTCAAATGTGCAGTTCACGTTCACTATTTCTGTTAGCTGTTATGTATGAAGGAAACCACACCCCTGGTTAAGGACCATCAAGGCCTCCCACAGTTCTTAGCAGAAATTCCAAACTTCCTCCCTGGATGACACAACCCCACATGGATTCAAACCTGTCTGCATTTCACCCACTGCACGTCGTCAAGGAACTTTCTCCGTGCCACATCCTGTCTCACCACTAAGCCTTCACGTACGCTGTTCCAGCAACTCCCTGGAACAGCCTCCCCACCCCGTACCCTACCCCCACCTGACCTGGCCAACCCCAAGTCTTCTTTCAGGTCTCAGTGTAGATATCCCCTCCTCTAAGAAGCCTTCCCAGACTGCCCCAAATTGGGAGTTGGGCCTGGCTTCTGCATCACGCCTATACCCCTGACCACATCTGTCCTGCTCGGCTTCTCTTCTCATGGGCAGGGGAACCCTATCTGTCTTGTTCTCCACTGTACCCCGATTGCCAGCACAGGCGAGGAGTTCCGTCCCTACCTCTGCACCACTAACTGAGCCCTAAGAGGCAGAATGCTCCACTGGGGCCTGAAGTGGTGGATACTCCTTGAAGAGATTACCCACACCCACCTTGGGCCCATGCCACCCAGGACCCCAGTACGTACATCATCTTCCTTGGTGCCCCCCCAGAAGTTTGTCCCTCCAGCATAGCTGGGAATGTTGAGGACAGCAATCCCCTGGAGGCTGGGGAGTGGGATGGGTCGCCCATCACACTGCGCAGTAGAAATGCCAGAAAGAGAAAAAAAAGAAAGATGCACAGCATTGACCTGGTCCTTCTTCACTAGCAATCCCCCTCCCACCCCCATCCCGGGCTGAGGAGGCCACGGCCACAGCTGAGCTCTCACGGAGGGCCCAAAAGGGCAGAGGGAGTCCCCACCCAGCTAGGAGAAGGGCTAAGAGGAGACCAGACGGGCCCCTGACTGCCTGCAATTGCAGGAGAGCCCTCCCGCTCACCTCCAACAGGACCTTCTGCTCCAGGTTTTTGTAGGTTCTGTGCAGCAACTCTTTGGTTCCAAGAACTCCGTACCACATCATATTCTTGGTCCGACTCCTGCAGATAGAAAGCAAAGAACTGACAGGATCTCAGTTCTCTTTAGACAGTGAGCTACAGTCATCGCCGCGAGCTGCAGGAGCGCATCTGATCACACAGCAGTCAGATGCAGCAGCCACTCTCAACACAGACACCTCAAGGGAAGGAAGGACATTTCCTCGTTATAGGTCTGTGTAAGATATGCATAAAGAAATACATCTGTTGATGTAAAATTCTGCTGAAAAATAACACTCCCAAGAAAGTAACTTACAGACATTACAGAACCTCACAAAAAAACCGATAATGATTTTTTCTAGCTATGAAATTATGCTTACCATGGAAAATTTGGGAAGTGCAGAAAAGCACAAAGGAGCAAATAATCCTCACAATCCCCACCTCTGTACGTATTGATAATAAAAAAAACTTCAGTGTACTTCCTCAGTCTTTCCGAGGTATGTGACTTACAGGTGAAAGAGCCAGTCTCTAGTCTCCTGACTGACTCTGTTCACTTGGCCCCGCAGCCTGTGTCTCGAGGTGGGACTGACCCCAGTGGGGCACCTCCCCGCCATCGCCGGACAACTTAACCCCTCCGACTGGACCCAGCCACTTCCCACTCCCGGGCTCTGTCAATCATGTGGCAGTCGTCCCTTCGCACACACCTCTTTACAAACGTTTCCAGTTCCTTCTTTAAGACAGACTCCTAGAAATGGAATTCCTCTTAGACCTTTACAAAGCTCTTGCTACAAACTCAAGGAGTATCCTATCAGAGTCCCACAGTTCTAAAAATGTATCATGCATGGCCCTGTTCACCTATTTTACTCTGTTAAACTATGTGCACTGTAATGCCTTTTCAGTTATTTTTGAACTAACAGGGGTATTTTTAAATGATTCGGGCTCACCACCACAAGCCGTAGAACAGAGATGTCCCTGGGGGCTTCGGAGACAGTCTCCACCACTCACGAGCCCCAGAGCTCAAAGGTTTCTTGAATTCTTATGCTTGATTTTGTTTTCCGAGAAACTTCCAACTACACAGAACTTGGGTGATCACCAGAGCAAGTCCTTAGGTGTATGAGCCCCTCCCACCCAGCCCCCCCAGTGTCACCCCTCCAAGTGATAATGGCACCAAATGAGCAGGGGGCACACGGAGCGAGTGTGCAGGCTCTCCGGCAAGGGACCGCCCCCCGCCCTGACTCCGACGTCATTGGCTGTCTCTGCCCAAACTCATGGCAGCTTCTCCCTCGCTCGTTCTAGAATGTCAAAGCTCAACAGTCTCCTCCTCCAGGGGATTACTGAGGGGTGAGGTGGGAGATGTTAACTCCCTGCTTCACTTCTCGTGTTCCCATGGAGGAGATGGGATCTCCACTTCAACCCAGGAGGAAACTGCCCATTTCTCTCCATCCCCTCCCTAGGCCGGCAGGGGTGAGCAGAGGTCATTTAGGGGAAGAAACTGAACATCTCCAGGGACACCCCTCGGGCCTCTCATGTGGCTATCTTTCTGTGGAGGGGCATCCTCTCAGGGGCTTTGTGGGGAGCCGACAGGGCCGTCCAGCTCTGCCCCGTGGTGAGGAACACACAGAGCCACCACCAATGCTGCCGGGGACTCATGTGTCGAGCAGAGTCACTTCTTAGCACACTCTGTCACCTAGCCCTTTACAGCAGCACCGTGGACTTCCGACTCTGCAGACTCAGACCCTTCTGACGGACCGCACTCACTCATTTTCTCATGTGGAATCTGCCGTGACCACGCCAACCCTGAGGTGGGGGGGGACGCCTCCTCCAGGCTGGCCTCCTGGACTCTGACCTGGTTCCACCCACATCTTCTAAGAGCACCTCCCTTCCTGACAACAAGGCATTCGGGCTTTACATGTGCCTTCTGCCTTGGCACTCTGCGCACCCTTTGCGTCGCTGACTCCTGAAGTCACCTCACTCCCGGGAACGAGAAGCAAGAACGATGCAAAGGACAGGTATGCACACAAGCCGCTGCCTACCTGCACTTCTCTGGGTGCTCATCACGCTTGTTGTTGAAATCCAGCGATATCTTCGCATCCAGGCCGATGCCAAAGTAATTGTTCATGACGCACTTCTCTGTGTAATACTCTCTGCAAAGGGGGTTTCAGACCAGTGAGAACCACCCGGGTCACTTCACAGCCTCCCAACCTGCAAGCATTTCTCCCTGAGGGCAAAACTCATGCCTTGTCCTTCAGGAGCAGCTTTACTGACCTAGAACTCACAGACCACCCGACGTACCCATTTAGAGTGTAGGACTCGGTGATTTTTAACGTACTCGGTCATGTAACCATCACTACTATCCATTTTAGGACATCTCATCACCCCAAAAGCAAGCTGCCCCCCCTTAGCCATCAGCCCCCAAACCCTCCCTAGCCCTGGCAACCATGAATCTGCTTTCTGTCTCCATGGTGTGCCTACTCTGCAAGTTTCATGTAAGTGGAACCCGCGGTGTGTGGCCCTTTGCGTCTGGCTTCTTTCATTGAGCATAATGTTTTCAGGGCCCTTTCGTGCCCCGGGCCTCGTCCCTTCCAACGGCTGAGCAGCACGCCCCTGGAGATGTGGGAGCACCGATACCCATGCTGGGGTGGACACGTTCTCCCTCCTCTTGGGTGTGGCCCCGGGAGACGCAGTCTGGGCCACGGGGAAACTGGGTTTTGAGGTACTGCTAGACTATTTCCCAGGGCGGCTGCGCCATCTCCCACCCCCACAGCGATGTGAAACCTGACGGTGTCTACAGCACACATATCCACACATCTTCAACTGTGGGTCTCAGAACGTGCCTCAAACATCCCTAGACCCAATCACAGCCGTCTCTAAACGTGGAAACGTTCATCCCAGCCCCCATGGCAGCACCTCCCTTCCCTGTGTCCACCGCTGATGAGACTCCTTTCACTCCAGCTTCTCAGCCTCCCCCTCCCCCCAGCAATCATCGTTGACTACAGGGGTCACAAAGGGGCTCTGTGGACCCTCCTTTCCCTCTAGGGCAGCTGGCTAAAAGGAGGAGTCCCTGACCCTCCATCTGGAAAGAGCAGCAAGGAGAAAAGTGCATGCCTGGCATTCCTGATGGCAGTTCCCACACAAACCCCAGGGAATACGGCCTGGGTCAGAACCCTGCCACCTTTTAGGTTAACAGGCGTTTGAAGCCTGAGTTGAGAAGCAATCACCACATGGATGTGTTTTTACGACACATCTAATCCAAGTGCCTAACAGCTTATCGAGAGCAAAGCTCAGGACAGAACCGTTTTCTGAGCAAAAGACCACGTGCTGACCAGTATTTACAGGTCTTGGGAAAAGGGAGGGAGCCGATCCAGAAAAACAGCATGGGGACAAGGGAAGGAGAATGGAGAGATGGGGCACAGGGACCCGGGAAGTGGGCGGCGGCCAGGCCCCGGAGGCTACTGCAGGCAAAGGCGGAATGACCACAAATCGGGGGGCCCCCCGAGCCACGGCACGCCACCCCGCATGAAGGGAGGAGAGCAGCCTGTCTCCCCATGTGAGTCTCGCCCTATGGAAGACGACAGGGGGAAAAGACATGTTGCCTAAGCTTCCAGGTGTGGGACTTCAGTGGTCTCAGGCGAAGGGAACAAACAAAGTATCTAGCTCAGGAGGCCGTGTGGGTACTGCTCATGGAAGGCCGCGGCTCTGGCCTTACTGAGGAAAGGTGTGGGGAGGGTCAGGATCAGAGTGGGGCGGCGGGGTGAGGGGCGGGCACTCAGCAGTGTCAGGTCCGGAACGACGACGCTGGTATGTCTGGGCAGGCCAGCATCAGGCAGCAGGTGTCTGAACCGAGGCCACTCTGCACACTTCTGGCTCCGCTCTCCAGAACCCCCAGAGTCTGTGCAAAGCTGCACATTCCTGTCACCCTTCCACCACCCCTGACACACGTGGCTAGTGTGTCAACCCACTACCACCAGCCACGCCCCCCAGACCTTGCTATCAGCCAGCAGAAGGGAAAATCTAGAAGACCAGGCTTTCAAACACCGTTTGTCTCCAATGGCCTCCACACACACAGAACTGCCGTGTCAGAGTCCTCGATGCCTGAGAAACAGGGCAGAGGACACAGCGCCAGCCCACAGAGCAGCCTGGGAGCCTTCTTCCCTGCGATCCCAAACCCAGGACTGTATCTCCTAGATTCGGCCCCAGAACCTAGGCCCCTGCAGCACCCACAGGGGGAAGCGGGGGAAGGAAGGGGGCGAGGCGCCAATGCAAGGCCAGCCGGGTCCTGGGGGGGCGACCATGGAGAACAAGGGCCAAGTCAGCTCCCAGGAGAAGCTCCTGAACCTACAGAAAACCGCAGACCCTGGGGGATGTTCAGGAACCACTGACGCGGGACCTGTGCGGGAAGCTGGGAGACGCTTAGCTGAGGCGTCACAATTTCTAAGTTTTCCTTATCAGCTAACGAAGCTGGAAAAGGATCACCTAGTCAACTGTACGTGAATTCCTGCGGCCAGTTCCACATCTGTTTTCTGGGCTCCAACATTCTTTTAACAACATGCTTTCCTGGTTTACCCCCATACTCACAGGTTTTCTGGTTCCGAGTTAAAGGGATCAGCATTAATTAACAGGCGACTGATGACAGAACCTCCAGGCAAGGAACCAGACATCCCAGCCCGAACGTCTGTAAGGAGGAAACAGGAAGAGACAGCAGGTCGGGATTCACTGAATTAAGAGAAGCTTGTGTCTTCCAGGCCGAGGGACATGTATTCTTCAAAACATTACTGCAATTAAATTATTTCTAAATAACGTATAAACAGATCCAAATTTTGACAATTTAAGTGTTTCAGGTCAAAAATCACCATCATAAATCCCTATTCATGGAGCAAAAACAAACACACTGAGTGGCAGAAACCACCACCTGAAGACACAGTAAAGAACAGTTTATAAAGACTGTTCTCATTACACGTAAGAAGCTCCACCGAAATGATCTCTCAGTACGAGTAATCCTAACGTTCAGTTGTACAGCTTTGTGAGGCTACATTCCGGAGTCGTAAACGGGGAACAGCCCAAGCGACCAGAATCCCCAAGGAACCTGCACCAACTTACAAATTTTAAGTCATAAACATTAAGGCAGACATGGAGCTCTGCTTTGAAACATTCTGCCAATTAACCCCTTCTGGTGACAATCATGTCTCTGATTAACCAAACACATCTCATTAGCCTCATCTCCCAAGGACTTCTGGAATTTTTTTTCTATTCAGTTGAGATTCACCTAGAAATTGCCAAATCACAGATGGTGTGGCGTGCGCTCTGCCGGGCCCAGGAGGCCTCGAGAAGTCACCTGAAGCTGGTTAGGGGGCTCTTACCGGCACCCTCAACCCCCCATGCTATTCCTTCCTTCTGCAGACACAGAGCTGCCACAGTCCCTCTGGAGGGAAGATTACCTCGACCCTAACTTGGGCAAAATGAAAGCAGAGACAGAGACACCACTTTCCTGGTGGCCAGTTGTGTCCTCCTACAATCACGCTAGAAACGACGGGATGACCCGCTTGGCGCCCAATCACACCCTGCCCGCCCCTCCCTTTTCACTCAGGATAACTCCTATTCATCCTTCAGGACCCAGCTCAAGTTATCGTCTCCTCAATGACATCTTCCTGGGGCCTCTGGCAGCGATTTGCGTGCTGTCTGCCCTTTAAAATAAATAAAGGCACTTTTCATGCCATGACATAACTTTGAAACCCAATCTCTGTTTCCCACAGACCTATATATAAGCTCTTGAAGGGCAAGGACGTGGTCTCATTCGTTCCCACAGACTCAGTGCCAGGCAAAGCGACAGGCCCTTGATCTCGCTAGCTGGCAGGTTAGCGCCCCCCCCCCGCACCGGCCCACAGACACGCACGGCCAACCTACGGGGGACACTCACTCGAGAACAGGATCTTGGTGTTCAGGGCTGGCAGGCCATCCCGGTTTCCTGACTGGGGAGGAAGAGAGGCAGAACTGCCCAGTGACAAACTTCCTTTGCTTATCAGCTTCTCACATGGGGATTTGGACACTACAAAAACAGAACAGAAAGCCATAAAACCATCTAAAATAGAACATTACTGAAGCACTGGGAGAGGCCATGAGAGCAACGACCGTTGTAAGGACTGAGGGGAGTGAGGAAGGGTCGTCAACCCCCGGCCAGCCCCCAGCAGAGTGTGCGAGACAAATCAAGAGGCCCAGGAGAGAGGAGGGGAAATGGGAAGGGGCCGCAGAGGCAGGAGGGTCTGGACGCCCTCTAGAGGGTGACACAGGCGCTGCCGAGACTGGGCTGGGGAGGCCGGGCTGCGTCCGGTCAGTCTGGGCTGCGGGCGTCCCTGCATGTGCAGAGCGGAGCTCAGAGCAGTAGTGATCACGGAGGAAATGCTGAGACAGACACCTCGCAGCGGGTGTACAGGCTACGAGGGAGGGGGCTACACACAGTCAGTGGGGGAGGCGGTGCCTGGGCTGGGGGGCTGCTCAGGGAGGGAGGAAGGTCCCCAGGCGGACAGCCCATAGGGCTAGGTGGCACCCTGGCCAAAATGCCAGGCAGCCTGGCCCAGAGCAACTTGCCTAAGTGCACAGTGTCTGGCTGGCTGCAGCCAGGGGTGCCTGAGCCCCGGGTGGGGACCCCTGGTGCACCAGGAAGACCCACAGGCCTGAGCCCTGCAGGGTCTGGGGTGCATGGCAGGTTCTGAGGAAAGCACACTCCTTCCTGTGGGGGTCCTGCTGGGCCTTCCCCAGATAAGGGAGGTGGTGCATGGAAACAGGCTGCATGTTCGTGACTTTTTACACAACCTAAAACTTCCCAGGGCAAGCGTTCTGACTATGGCCAACCCCAGGGGCCCAATCACAGTGATGGGGTCTTCAGGACTGACCGGTACCTTTGCGGAGGCTCCTGCCCTTGGTAACCCCGTAGCTCTCGGTGGGACACACTCTGTCATCCAACTTCGGGTCTTTTTTCTCCTCTGACTCAGAGAGACCTAAGGCAAACCCCTGCTGTTCCTGGGTCTGGGCGTTCTGCTCGTCAACAGCTGTGCAAGGGAAGAACACCTGCAGCTGAGCGTGCAACAGCAGAGGGCCCGCTCAACGTGGGCTCCCTCCTCCTCTCCGCCAACTCTCTTCAGACGTGCTCTCAGCTGAAGGCTCACAGCCGGAAGCGGCCACCCCGTCCCCACTGTCCAACCAGCCCTGCAAGAACGCGGGGCACTGGGCATCCGTGTGGATGGGCTGGGGAGAAGGGAGAGAGCCGAGCGGCTGGAAGACGTGGGAAAGGTGAGAAGAGTGAGGGCACACGGGGCCTCCACCTGACTGTCAGCCAGGAGCAGGGCTGGCGTGAACACACCAGAGGGGGGTGGGGGTCACAACCCATGCTTCTCATTGAAGGACGAGGAAGATGGTCTGCTGGGAAGGGTCTGGGGTGAGCAGCAGCGGGGTGAAACGGTTTCTGAGGGTAATGAGAGAGCACACAGATCAAGGACAACACAGCTCGAGGGAGGCTGGATGCGAGAAGTCCACAGGTCACCATGCATTTGTAGCGTTCCCTTCAAAGCTTAGAAACCAAGGCTAGAAAAAGGGAGCAACCAGCCGGCGAGTCTGTAATCCAACACAGTCCACCTACCCATCACCCCCAGGCTCATCATGGAGAGTCGGCAGCCTGGCCACCAGGCCCCGAGCACCCTCTGCTTCGCAGCTGGCCCCGCCTGGGACCCCACAGTGCCCCCCACTGCTCTGACCACCTCCAGCTCACCCGGCCTCCCACCCCTCGATGCAGCAGTGCCCCGTGCGAGCCTCTCTTTCCAGCCCTCAGCTGACAGCCTCACCCACCACCCCAGGCCAGGCCCGCCTCTCACAGGGCCCCCCTCTCGGGACGTCCTCAGAGCTCCTTGGTTCCAACCAAGTGTGAGGCTCTTCTCGGAACGCCCCCCACCCC